GCTGCAGTGGTAGCACCCTGACAAGTGGTGGGCCAGGATCTGGAGCAGCTGGCGCTGGTAGTGGCGGGCTGGCTGAGCTATAGGCAGTGGCGGTGTTGGGCACAACTGGAGGCGGATCTGGAGTGGGGTCTGGAGGCACCCATTGGATTGGCATTTTGTTTTGTATTTTGCAGTTTGGGTACTTGGGCTCAAAAAGGTTTGCCAGCACTGCCCTAAGCCCTGTGCCTCAGATAATAAATAAGGTTTAACAGTGCCATGCTTCATCCTGGAATTGTGCTCTTAAATTCCATTCTGTAGTAAATGTATTGCCAGGTTTGTTAATTACTTATTATTCATTTGTGTATTAATACCCCACTTTGAACCAGGAAAGGCTAGTGAAGTAACTTATATATATCATAGTGTTACAAAGGTCAGCTCTTTTCTCTGTAATCTGCACACAGCCAGGATCTGAAAAATCTTTTTATTTTTTCCTTTTCTTTCTATGCTGTTCTTCTGTCTGAGGACACCCAGAACAGTCCAAATCACAATACAGGTACAAACAACAATTTCATATACAGCATAACAAACACAATAAGAGTTTGCCAGTTGACCACATAATGGAATGGCTACTTAGCAGGCATATCTGTGTATGCATTCTTTAACAAATTTTGAGGAGATCAGAGTTAAAAGTAATGACACAATGTGTGTGCATATTTAGCATGTTATAATGCATGAAATGTATTCTTACTAATTAGTTCTCACTAGCATCTCATCACATGAGGAACTGAATCATCCTCAACACCTAAAAATATGTGAATAACCAAAGGTAAAGCGTGTACACAGTATACTCTGTGAACACTGGCATTATGCTACCATTTCAAAATTAAGGAAGTGATGGCTGTTGAAACTTTTTCCAGAAAGGTAAACAAAAATATTAGGAGCTTTAATAAAGCAAATGAAAGGAAGCAAAAGGGAATCAATTTGTCTGCATATTCTTCAAAACAGGCACCTTATCAAAGAGGATACTCCAGTTTTTAATCAAGCCTTGAGACTTACATCTGGATTAACTTCAGTTGAAAGTGAGATTTATTTCCGAGTAGATATACTCAGATGCAGTGTGTACTGCTGCAAACAGAAACACCATCAATCTCTAGGGATTTTCTCAGCAAAATAAACCATGAATCATAGTTAGAAACTCAAAACTTCGTATCACTTAGAAATGCAATGCACACACAATGTTTTGCACATTTCTGACTAAATACTACTGAACATAGGCAAAAGGTCAATGGGAATTCAGCACATTTACTTTCAAATTGCGTGGTAGGTCTAGCTGTTGCATGGTTGTGGTTGATGAGAGATTAGTCCATGTTAGCTCCCTGTGGATTGAATGAGTCAAGACTGTTCTTTTCTTTGGTGACTATTTTGCTAGGACTGTTATCCACTGCACATCCATTTCAGAATCCTGCCACATGCTGAAAGCTTTCAGTTTCTTTAAGACAATGTAGAGTGGCAATTGTGGGGTGAAAATTGTAGTTTGTGTTTCCAGGAGAAAACTCTGAGCAGCACACTATTCTATAGGGGGTTAGAGTAATACCACGTGGGACGTGGTGGCGCTGTGGGCTAAACCGCAGAAGCCTGTGCTGCAGGGTCTGAAGACCAAGCAGTCGTAAGAGCGAATCCACGTGACGGAGTGAGCGCCCGTCACTTGTCCCAGCTCCCGCCAACCTAGTGGTTCGAAAGCATGCAAATGCGAGTAGATCAATAGGGACCACCTCGGTGGGAAGGTAACAGCGTTCCATGTCTATGTCGCACTGGCCATGTGACCATGGAAGATTGTCTTCGGACAAAACGCTGGCTGTATGGCTTGGAAACGGGGATGAGCACCGCCCCCTAAAGTCAAACACGACTGGACAAAAAATTGTCAAGGGGAACCTTTACCTTTACCTTTATAGTATGCAGGATCAATCTCTTTAAGAGACAGGTGTAAACAGTAATCTCTCTGCTTTGTAAATGTATGTTGTTTCCTTATAAATACAGTGCTACTACAACTAATTGGCCTATTTTGCACAGTAAGTCTATAGTATTATAGTATTATGTTGCTGTTGACCGTTTCCTTTGTTGTTTGTTGGGTAAAAAGCCTATAACTTTGAATTGTTCAGTGAAGATAGACTTCTAGCATTTATGTTTATCTGTTCCTATATTTCAAAAACCAGGGATGTTCCCAAGCCAGGGGGTGGGGGCAGAACCTTGAGTTTAAAGCAGACAGCTATGGTTGAATGTATACAGTATTCCAGAAAGTATGCAAACTCAGGCCATCCTCTTTCATTCTAACTCAAAATAGGGGCTTACTGCTGAACTTCTATTGGACCTTATAATTCATCCTAAGTGGTCACTGCAATACAATTTCCGAAGCCGCTCACTCTCTACATAGCACATATCTAGTGATATGAAAGAGCTGAAAATAAATGCTCTGGTCATGATAACATAATGTGTTTGCAGTACAGTCTTATCCATAATCTTTCTTACTTCAGTCTATTTGTATTTGTTACATGGAAGTATCACTAAGTTTAATGGACAAGCAAAGGTGATTTTACCCTCACCTCACTTTAGGAAATCAAATAATGGAGCTCTGCTCTTCTGTTTATGTGGGTAGATATTAGGGTTCAAAAAGGGTGTATCAATTATTTCCTATTTTGAATGGGAATGGAGGATTGATATATGCTCCCTTGCTTCAGCTCTAACATTTTACTTTAAAATAAAGTTGTGTTATTGTTGGTGAATAGGCTATACAATATTTAAAAATAAGTGACTACTAAAAAACATACTATATAATGGCCAAAATCCTCTTGCATAGTTTTGCAAATGGTATATATCAGGTCAAAACCAAATACACATTTTTTAAAAAGAAGACAAATGGTGTAACTTTTGGCCTCAAAGACTGTGACACTGCATTTTCCAGGATGTAAATTTCAAAACAACTTTGCTCCATGACATAATTACTGTTTTTGACATAATTATGCGTAATTACTTTGAAGTCTGCAATTAAAAGTAATGAACCTTGTACAGTATATTGGTTCTACAGGATTCTTCTTTCAAAGATTATAGTCCTTCAAATACCCCCTTAAATGTTCATTAAAGTTTACTTGTAGTTTGTTACAATTGTGTCAAATTTTTAAGAGTCTGTCTCATGCTTCCTTCTTATGGTTATTTGCATCCTAATATTATGTACTTAAATATATCTAACCCTTCTTGAAATCAGTAGGTTTACACATGACTACACTCTGCATTATAAATCTCCCACACAGATAAACCAAGAAGAATACACATGGTAGAATCCTTTGGGTGTTTGTGTAAGGTCTGCATACCTTAATGCAGCTGATTGGCACCTTGTTTCCTGACGGAGCGTCTCTCCCTAAGACTGTCCACCCAGACCAGCCAGATGTGTTTGTGGGAGAGAGGCTCAGAAAACTACCACAAGAAACTGGGCCTTCTCGGTGATGCCTGCAACACTATGGAATGTGTTGCCCGCAGATACATGCCAGGCCCCATTCCTCTTGCCCTTCTGAAAACAGGTTAAAATCATACTGTTCAAAGAGGCCTTTGGCAACATCTTACCCGTGTAACATTTTCATGGGCCTATCTACTCAGTTGATCTTGACTTCAATTTGCCATCCAGGATTCCTGCTTTTTAGGGGGATATCCTGGGTTTTTAATGTTTCTTGTTTCTCTGTTTATGTCTTTGTGGGTGACACCGGATTGTGGTATTTTAATTGTTGGCCACCCAGAATAGTGCCCCAGCATTAGATCGGTGTGAAACAAAGAAAGAAAGAAAGAAAGAAAGAAAGAAAGAAAGAAAGAAAGAAAGAAAGAAGGCTAAGTGACAAGGGACCTGGGCACATCTTGAATGTGCAATTCTATTTATGATTGGGCATGTGAGTACGTATGATACAACCCAGCACCTCACAGATTAGCCACAATATGTCGCATAAACACCAGTAGGATTCTGACAATAGTATGCATGTTTCAAAAATTAAGTGGAGGCTGAAATCCTGTTATAGTTGGTATAACATAAAGTTACACCAAGCAGTCCATATTGTAGAATTAGACTGCAAAACTGATCGAACTGTTTAGATGTTACCGTTACAGAAAAGGCCTATAGAAATCCCTCAAGATCATCACTTCTGTTTTAGTGTAATTTTCCCTACCACTTGCATACAGCTTTTTGGAACAGGATTTCCTTATATATGCTTACTTGGGAGTAAGCCCCATTAAACGCAATGGCCATTTCTGAACAGATGTGTATAGGATGGCACTGCAAGTTCCCTGCATTCTGTGGGGCTTATTTCTGAGTCACAAAGCTTCCTTCCACAACCACAGTATAGTGATGCCTTACAAGACGAAAATAATTCTTATTGTGTGTCCTTTCGTATTGCAAAAATTTTGTCTTGCGAAGTGCTGTTTCCCACAGGAATGCATTGAAATTTAATTAATGCATTCCTATTTGTCTTGCGAAGCACGGCCATAGAAAAATTTGTTTTTGCGAGTCACCAAAAATCGCAAAACACTTTCGTCTTGCAAGTTTTTCGCTGCGCAAGGCATTCATCTTGCGAGGCATCACTGTATTGACTTCAGCAATTATGGACAATGGCTTGGATTCAGAAATATAGTTTGGACCTACATTATATACCATAGTTAAAGCAACCTGATATAATTTTAATGCCATACCTCCATCCTGCCCAATCCTGGGATTTAAAGTTTTTATTTGGAACTTTCTATTGCAGTTCAAGGAATACAATGTGCTACAACTCTCTAGCAAAGACTTCAATGCGTGTCACCACCACCAAACTTCAGGATTCTGTAAGTGCAATCAAGAGAGTTAAACTGGTAGGAAACTGCTGTAATTATGCAGGACAGATATAACGCTAATCAGTTAAGAATGGCAGACTACAGAGCCTTCCAGACAAATCTTTTCTTCTGGAATAATATAGGATTGAGCCATTGATTAAATGACTCAATCCAGGCCACATGGGGTACACCTTCTTACTGTATCATCGGATTTCACAGACAAGTCTAGTTTGAGTAGTAGGCTGTTGCCTGTCACAGCTCCTGTTTTTCAGTCACATAGCCTTACACCAGATTATTGCACATTCTGCTATTGCAGAGATTGAGTTCTGTTAATTACTGTAGGTTTCTGATCTCCCGGCGCCCTTTAAGCGGACGCAAAGCAATGGGCCTCAAAGATTTAATAGGGCCCGGTTCTAGGTAACTTTCCTTAAGGGTCGCGGGACTGGCAGCTGATTGCTTCGTGCCTCGGACTCTCGTTTGTGTTCGACACACACTGTTCCTTTCGTACATCCACGTGCCCTCGGAAGTCAGTCGAACAGGATTTACTCTGAAGCATCTGTGCAAGGGTGTGTTTGTCTTTAATGCCTCACTGTTATCCTTTTTTTTTTTTTTTTTTTTAAATAACGGGGATCTTTCTCAGACACTCAGTCATCCTGCTGGCTTCGGCTTCGCCACCGCAGCACCAACAGGCACTTCCCCGGGCTCTTGCCAGTGCGGTTGTTTTTTTTTGCTGCAGCAGGCGCCTCCCGCCGCTTTGCTTCTGCAACCGCCGCCGCCCTCCCGTTCGCTCCACTCGGTTCCTTTCACGCAGGTTCCTCCGGGCAGTCCAGCTGCTTGCTTCTTCTCAGCACCAGGTAGGGGACGCGGCGTTTCCAGGGCCCGGCTGAAGGAAGCGAGGAGGAGGAGGAGGAGGAGGGAGAGGGTCACTCCTCTCTCTCTCTCTGCTGGGTGAAGACGAGGGCAAAGAAAATGGCGCCTCCGCCGGCCGGAGAACGGTGAAGCGGCTTTTTTGCTGAGGGAGGGGCGGGCAAAGGGAGGCCGGGCTCTGGCACCGGTGGCAGCAGGCAGGGCCGGAATATGCGGCAGTGGCTTTCCCGGCTAGTTCTTCTCTTCAGCCAGACTTCACCGGCGCTCTCTTGTGGCTTCCGACGGCCTCTTCTTCCGCCTCGTTCGTGCCTGTGGCGACAGCAACAGTGCCTCTGCTTTCCTGGGTAGAGTTCTGGGGCTTTCCTCTCGTGGCGCGCCCGTTGCCCAAAATGGGGGATGGTGTGGCCTCCCCCCCCCCCCGTGAAACGTGTTGGGAGTGTTGGTGGTAATAGTAGTACAGTAGTAGCAGCAGTAGTTGTTGTATAACGAGAATGTAACAAGGAGCCGCCTCTCCTCCTCAACCCCCGTGTTCTCCCCTCGTTGTGTAACACGCGGTGAATATGATAGGGAATATTTTCGAGCTTTCATGTGGGAACCGGTGAATCCACGTTAAGGAAAGGAAGGCGAACCCGGGCACTATGGAGTTTCAACAGGGAGTTTGGCCTTTTCCTTCCCCCCCCCCCCGCCTTCTTAATCCATGAACTGCTTCTCTGCAGATACTACTGTACAGTGGGTGGGTTACTGACGAGGGAAGGGTCTGTTTTGCGACCGCGAACAGGCCGTGCATTTGCGCCGTGATAGAAGAAGTTGAAGAGGGAGTAAGCAAGTGGGGAACGCCTGTCGTGAATACTGTTAAAGCGGACCCCCCTCCCGGCCTCTGACGTACGTCTTGTTAGGAGTCATGTTTTGTGGGAGGAAGCTAACGTCACACAGATCTAAACAGATTTACTCAGAAGAACTTGGCAGGGAAGGATCGGACGGAATTGTTCGTGTACTGTAGTTTCTGTTCAGTTGTCTTTTATGACATGGCCTGGGAGCCTTCCTTAACACCAGAACTGTATTTAAATATTGATCTTTCTGATTTTGAGGTGTTGGATACAAGTGTTCAAAGCATGTCAGGTTATTTTATGCTGTTTCCCAACAAGACTCTTGGCTGTATTTTAATACTTGTTTTATTTTAGTTATCTCTTCGTAATTTTCTTCAGACTAAGTGTGATGCTTATCAGCTCCTTTTCCAGGGGGATGGACTTCCTAGTATATAACAAGCACATCAGACACTGCTAGTCTTAATAGAGGATTAAGTTATAGTGCTTATATGTCTGCCATATTGGCTTCAGTAATACTTCAGACAACTTTACTGGGAGCAAAATAGTACAGTAGAACTAATACAGTGTCACATAGATGAGAAATTGACTGAAAACCTCTTAGTTCTTCTGGGTAAGAAATAATTCCTTATAAGTATTGTGGGTGTGACACTTTGACAGTTGTAAAAGAAAAAACCTATCTGGTTGCATACAGTACAGTTCCATACATGTTTTGTGAGATGTAGGTCTTGAGTTTGCCGTGGTTACAGTTCCTATTCCTGTTTATGTGGCAGTAATATTGACTTAACACAATGAGGCTCACTCGTGTGTGTGTGTCATAATTTAACACAATATAATTTGGCTTATAATCAGAATTCATACTTGAGTAGAAGTGGGGCAATAATTAATGTAAACAGCTTAAGAATAGTAGAAGAATCTAGGGATGTCAGAAATTTGTTTGCTAAGAGATTATGATTTTTTTCAAAAAAAGAATGACAATTATGGACTGAATAGTAGGTAGCAAAACAAAAACTTGTGTAGGTTTGAATTTGAGTCTGAGGTTAGTATTTCAAAAGGTGAGAGGGATCATACAGTACACCAAACAGACCTGGAACTAAGCACAGCTGAATTCAGAGTGAGTTTTGTAAGTAAACATAAGATTGGATCGCACAAGTTTCCAGTGAGTGTGTAATACAGTATCAAGGTCTTTAAGCTCTAGGTTTTCTGAAGTGAGTAGCAAACATTACCAGATGTCATAATGAACTTTGTGTAAAATTTTGAATTCAGAACTAACAAGAATTTACTGAAGATAAATTATTTGCCTATTATTAATTTGTTTTTGATTTACTAGATTTATATAGTGGCATGCGCCCATTGATACATTTTAGTTGTGTCTAAGTCTGTGATACAAAAGTGAAACAGCACCTTTCAGTTAAAAAAAAAAGGAACGCAAGTGCCCTTAATTTCTCTTCTTTGTCAGCCAGAACAGAATTTTGATACCTTTCATTGCAGCTCCTTGGAATACGGTGGGCCTCAGTTAATGACAATCATCTGCTCAGCTAAATGTGAAAATCTTGGCAGTGTGAAACTGTTTGGATGGGGTTAGTTTGGAGATGAAAGGAATAGCAACCTTTAGCCATTGTAACTGGAAAGTAGGGCCTGCAACTTGTGTTAAGGTTGTAACAAACTGAGGATCAGAAATGTTTACAATACAGTACTTCTCTAGTTTTTTTCACAGAATTTACTGACTGAAGGAGTGATTGGAATATGATAGTGTTTTTGAAAGTTTACCGTAGTGGCATATGTACTGTATATGATGGTGATATATATATATATGTAAGTATATCAAGCATATATTATTCTGCGTACTGTATGTGTATTTACATGAAACCACAATACTTTGGCTGAAATTGTGTTTATGCAGGTAAAACATATAAGGCTGATGCCATCTGCAGCTGCAGTGAATTTTAAAAAATCAGCAATTTCATATTCCTCACCTGAATGTCCCAAGGCTCCCATGGAGCCTTTAATCATCAGGAAGCCAGTTGGACAGGAGAAGGAAGACTTTAATTGTCAAAAATCACTGATGACTTTACCAACAGCAATTTTCAGAAATTAAAGATTCCCTCCAATGGCTTTTTCATGATAAAAGGGATTTCATGGCATCCTTTGGACTTAAGAAGAAACAGTAATCTGGAAGAAAAACACACACATTCTTTGTTCTTAGGCAATATGTGTTATTTTTTTGCTGGAGCTGCTATATGTCATCAAGTTAGAACCTACTTATAGCAGTCCTAGTAGAGTTTTCCAGGTAAGTGAGGTATTTAAGGGGTGGTTTTATTAGTTCTGCTCCCCCAGTGAGTTTCCATGGCTGAGCAGGAATTCAAATCCAGGTCTCCTGGGTCCTAATACATCACTCTGTCCACTATACCACACTGGGTACCAAACAATAAGAAGTGGGTGGACTTTCCATCCTCCCTGTAAATGTCCGGATATACCCCATATTAATACAAGGAAAAGTAAGACCATCAAATTGTCCACCCAGCCTGTTCTGCTGCGACTTTAACCCCTTTGTTTTTGTTGTTTATTAGAAGTGGTACTGTCATGTTCCCGCCTGTCCCTTGGTTGTTTCACCAATCAAAGGGCACAAGCTACGTGTCATGTTGATGCCACCAGTTGATTACATCAACATTGTTTATTATTAATCACAGAGGACCAGGCAATGTGTCATTTTAAAAAGAACCAAAAAGAAGTTGTTTATTATTACAGGTGATGAAGGTACAATCAATATCTCTCACTCTTAACCAAACAATCCAACTTCATCCACCCTCAACCGCCAACCCTCTCTCTGTATCCCCTCCAATCTCTGATCTCTCAAAACTCTAAATCCTCAATCTCCCCCTCCTCTTCCTGCTCTCATATCGTGACTCTGCCTCTCCAGCACTCTCACTGGTCCAAGCGAATAGCATATTAATATTCATGACCTGGGTGGTCGCCACAAGTACTATCTCCAGGATATGTTTCTTAACTTCACTTCTCTAAAATCACTGTGGCTGTGGTTTACCAAAAGGTGTATGAGTTTAAAGTGTGTCTTTATTGCTATTTCACAGAGAACAATATCCCTTTCCTCCTCTCTTTGTCTCTTTACTCCGTTACAGGAGAGGAGCAGCTAGTAAACTATGTTAAAAATAGTAGCAGTTATTTTCTGAATGGTATCTGCAACTTTTTCTGCATGTATAAACAGGTGTGGGCTGCTCCTTAGTTCCTCTCTTGCACCTGCTTTGATTCATTGTGTAGGATTAAAAAATAAATGGGTCCCCCTGATCATCATCTATTTGTTAATGCTGATAATAGTCATAGAAATTGTGGAAGATGCTTTATTCTAAGAATAAATGAATAGCTTGTATTCACTTACAGTTAAATAGTCCTCTACGGACTTGGAAGTTAATATTCAGATGATGAATGGAGTTGCTGCGTCAGTCTTTTAAGAGAACCATATTTGAAGATTTATTTGTGGTACTAGTAGCTAGTGTTGTTCATTTTAAATTGTTCTTAAACCAGACATCATAGTACTGTATAAAGATGAGGAAATAGCTCTCATAGGGTTATTGTTACAGTATCAGAAATATACCAGCTGATTGTTTCTGAGAAAGAAGTTAATGGTAGAGTCCCCCAGTAGAACTTGAATCTGTAGTGGTCCTTTGGAGTGGCCTAAATATGAGTGTAAATGGTTGAGAGACTGCTGTTTCATTGACATGTATCTTCTTTCCCTCCGCTTGCCTCACCAGTGCTGGAGTACTACTGATCCTGTAAAAATCACAGATGCATTATAATGCTCTCCTTTCTCTCAAGAAAGGAGCTCCTAGTTCAGGAAAGTGTATCATGATCTGTTTGGCAACATATCTCTCGCTTTTTATCTTGGCACTGCAATATGTATAATTGGACCTGAAATATATTCTGCACATGTGGGTGATGTAATCGCATCAGATACCACATTGTTGATTTAGTAGGTTTTGGTATTGATGGGAAATTTCTTGAGTGTGTTAGTTAACATATTTTCTTCCCTGTGAGGAACATTTGCTTGCTTGTTTATTCCATAATTTTACACTTTACAAACTTAATCTGTTCTGGAAGGTAGTTTGTAAGTCAGAAAGTTCGTAAGTCAGATCAGCATTTCCCATAAGAATGCATTGAAAACCAATTAATCCGTTCTGGCTGTTTTTGGTTCTTAGGTTGAGGGGCGGTTTGTAACTCAAATCATTAGTTCCCATAGGAACTAATGCAAAGCTGGTTAATCCGTTCCTACCACTCAGGGCATAATTTTTTTCTTTTTTTCCCTTTTAACCTAAGATGACTTAGGTTTTAAAAAAGGAAAGAAAAGAGGGAGGGAAGGAGGGAACAGACACCTTTTCAACAGAACACCTTGAAAAGCACCTTTTCAGCCAAGATAAGCACCTTCTGGGAAAAACCAAGCACCTTTCAGACAACAGATCACTTTGAAAGTCACCTTTTCAATCAAGACAAGCCAATACAAGCACCTTTGGGGGAAAAAGGGGGCAGCAAAGGAGGGAGGGAACACCTTTTAAAAATTCCAAAATCAAAAATTTTTAAAAAGCCAAAAAATTAAAATACAGTCCGTACAGCACTGTACCAGGCAATACCAGGCAGTACCAGGCAGTCTGAATACTGTCTCCAAATCCACTCTCAAAACGCTGGGAAGAGCAAGGAAGCAGACAGGCACCCTCTTCACTGGCCAATGGTTAGCTGAAAGTTCAAATTTCGCGCTTTCCCCACCTCCCACGTGTTTTTTCGGTTTGTAACTCGAATCTAAGTTTGCAAGTCGAGTCAATAATTTTTCTGTCAGAGCGGTTTGTAAGTCGAAATGTTTGTAACTAGGGCCGTTTCTAAGTCGAGGGTTGACTGTATTTTATTTGTCCAGTTAGTTATCCTGCTGTTCAGCCAAATGGCTTCTGGAGCTGCCTCCGTATATTGAGGGGGGAAAGTTGCAAAGGGCTATAGCTTGATGAGAGCGCTTTCTTTTTATGCAGGACGTCCCAAGTTCACTTCCTTGCATTTGAAAGTGAAATGATGAAAGGATCCCTCCTGAAATCATAAAGAGCTACTGCCAGTTAGTGATGACAATCTCAGCTAGACAGACCAGTGATTTAATACAGTATAAGACAGCTTTCTATGTTCCTATTACAGTCATCGGGAATAAGGAGGGAAATGTAAGATAGGAAATACAATGGACCCTCGACTTACAGACTTTTTGAGTTACAGACTTCTCTGGCTGCAAAATTTAGGTTCGACTTGCAGTCAGAGAATCGACCTACAGACCAGAAAAAAACAAAAATGGAACAAAAATGGAACAAAAACAAAAATGGTCAGTTATGGGATTAATTGGTTTTCAATGCATTGTAGGTCAATGGAGCCTCAACCTACAGACTTTTCGACCTGCAGCCACCATTCCAATACCGATTGATTCAGTTAAGTAGAGGGTCCACTGTAGTATTTCTGCAGGGGTGGTAGAAATGTCCTTCTTCTCATTCATTTCTTTCTTCTGTAGCCAGCTGGAGTGGCTGGTGGTAAGGTTTGCAGGCAGCCTACATTTAACTTGGTGGTATTTTAGCAAGTAAGCAGTAAGAATATTTAAGTGGGTTCATAACGAGTAGGAAACCTCATTCAGCCTGAAGGCTGAATTCAATTTCAGGGATGTTTCCAGGAGCCACATTCCTATATTGAGCAGGGCCAAATGTAAAAGCATGGAGCCAAAAAGACAAGGTTTTAGCTTAAAACCCTTCCTCAACTGTGAAGAGATGGATTTCAAATTTCATAATGGCAAGTTGAGGGGACTCTCATAAAATCTGGGAAGTCTGTGACAGCAATATGAGACAGAAGGAAGTGTGGCTGTCTCGTGAAGCCCAAGATGTTTGCATTCAACTCCCAGGAGGGCTGGATTTGACTTTAAGACCTGGGACACTTGCCACGTAGTTTTTCAACCGGTTGGTAACAGGAATTAATCACATGTGATATATAGCAACAAGGAATGCTGACAGTTTTAGTAAAACCAGCTAGGAGAGAGTGAAAGGTCTCACTTATTCAACCTATATTTTTGTGTAGTCTGTTGTTTGCTTTAACTTTTTAAATATCGTTATATATTTTCTGAATGAAAACAGAAGCAAACATATTGCTTGTCACTGTTGAGAAACACTTGCTAAAGTAAGCGACTGAAGATAATAACAAGCTTGTGTTTTAGCTTTTAAATAAGGTTTTAGTGATGTAAGCTGCCTTGGGTCCTTTGGGGGAGAAAGGTGGCAAAGAAATATTTTAAATAAATAAATCAAATAGAGTTGTGATGAGGTACACATCTGCATTTTAAGGTACTGTATATTCCTATGGTTAATTGTTTTCCCATGCTTTTTCACTGAAATGTTCCACCAACCCTGCAAGTAAGAACTGCCACCACAACCCATAAAAACATAGACTCCAGATAGCTGGTCAAAGCAAGAACTGGTTTTAAGTACCAGAAACACTCTTAGCCAAAAACCGAGACATAGGTGGAGAATTTCAATATTTTCTTAAAGATAGTGAAAAAACCAAAATGATGAAAGTTTCAAAAGATTGCAAAAATACATCAAAAGTATTTTAACTCGTTTAAAGTCGAATGCTGAACCATACAGAGAAAACACTCTAGAATTTAAGAAAGCTATCTTAACTATCTAGTACTTACACACTAACATAGCATCAATATACAGTGGTGCCCCGCATGACGATGATAATCTGTTCCATAGAAATCGCTGTCTTGTGAAACCGTTTCCTCATTGGAATGCATTGAAATCCCTTTAATGCGTTCCAATGGGGAAAAATCGTTGTTTTGTGAAGATCGCCCATAGGGAAGCCATTTTGAGAACCGCCAATCAACTGTTAAAATGGCTAGCCTGTGAGGCATCGGTCCCAAAAACACACATTTTGCGAAGTGCCGATCAGTGCCAAAATCGTCGTCTTGCGAGAAATGGTTTGCGAGGCACGGACCCAAACATTGTCCAGCGAAAATCACCCATTGGAAACACTGTTTTGCGAATTGTTATAGCGATCTCAAAACCTCATCTTCATTCGGATTCGTTGTTTTGTGAGGTCGTCGTCTAGCGGGGCACCACTGTAGTTTTACAGCATGCTCTGAGTGCAACCCTTCCAGCACAGCATAACAGGACAGCACCTAAGCATAGTGTCTCCTAGATAACTAAGTCAACTAAAGTAACTTTTGAACATCTTTAAATAACTCATTAATCAGCTTCTGGACCTTTCGAGATGATCTGCCAATTAGGCTTCAAGTTCCCTCAAATGTTCAAAAGAGAAGAGCAGTTTCAAACCCCCCTCTCTCGTATACACAGCCAAATTCATTTTCCAATCAGCATACTAACAGGGAAGAAGTTAATCTGACTTTGAAGTCTTTGCCCAAAATATAAACCACAGGTGGTACTTCCATTCTTTTGTGGGCAACATTTGTCCCCACCTTTCTCCCAGCATTTCTCAGGCAATGAGAAAAGCTTGGATTTTCTATAAAGATCCCCAACCCATAGTTCCCCAATTTTTCAACTACAGTATCTTCAGATCCAACACCTTGTCAATTTGTTGGAATCATGTAACTGTGGCAAGTTACACAGTCCCTTTGCAAACACCAAGGTTCAAGCTATTGTGTCTTAATATGTTGGGTGCTACTTTTGAGTTCTTTTATTTTTAGTAATAATACATGAAATTACTGGAAGCAAATGCTTGTGTCAGCAGTGTTTTTCAAACTCATGAACTGTTTGACAATAATTTTTTTGTTATTATCATGTATATAAGTTTCCCCCTCATTATTGTTATTTAGATCTGAGCAAATCGAGAGGCCATTTGTGCCATAAAAAAGTTATGTGGGAAGCTGTTGAAACTTCCAGCTATTGAAAATTCTACTATAATAAGTGTCCTTCATGAAAACATTTCCTGTGTAACAAGACTACTAATTCACAATTGGCTAAAAGTACTGTTCATTGAGAGAGTCCAGGAAGTATGAGTCTTGCTGCTCCAGTGAGTTCATTTAACACCCCTGGTTGCTCCCAAGCACCCAAAAGCTGGTTTTCTGTGAGGTTTGTGAAAAGTACCACTAGTGCTTGGGGTGTAAATAAATTTCTTTCTTAAAGTATCAAGGAGACAGAGAGGTAGGAACTGGAAGGAATGCAACCATAGTTCCAGGTTGTAACTCTCCAGCAAAAAGTCCAGATTCTGTTGAACTGGAAATTACTTGATCTTGTTATCTGTGTTACTGCAGGTGAGTGTTCAAGTTGCTATAAATAATATTACTTTGTCATATGCTTCTGCAGTATTTATTCTCAGCACAATTAATAGGTGCTATCTTACCATATGTGTCAACTTATTTTGTAGAATACATATTATAACAAGAGGTCCTTGCATTTAATAGCTGTAAAGCAGACAATCATAGAACAGATGTAGCCTTTGTAGTATACTTCAGGAATGTTGGGAACTAAGAACATATTGCACTTCTCCCTAATGGGAGATTTTTAGAGGCAAAGTGGGGACTGGATCACCATGAAATATATGTGTTATAATCAGATTCAGGGAAACAGAAACATATGGCGGAGTCATGGTTTTGCTGTGATACAGAGTGAGTTGTTTTAAAATCTTGAGTAAGATCTTTCAACGCTAACCAGAAATAAATGGTCAATTTCCCCCCACCCCTTCCACGATTAAAACAGAAATAATGATACTGTTCTTTACTTACAAGTTCTTCATGCCCTCTGTGAATGCACACATTTGAGTTACTTGTACAGTCTGCGCTGGCGCAGGACTCCTCGGAATATTCTAGAGCTTTTTTTTTCTGAAAAAAAGTAACAATATTGAGGGTTGCCCCTATAGCATGTCCTCCATCTGCTTCAGCCTTCAGTTCCATTTTACTGCCTAGGTGTTAGGAACTTCTCGGCTTAGAGCTTTACTATTTTGCATTTTTTAAAAAATGGGTTTTTTTTTTACTTGGACTGTTTGGATTACGCTTTAGATATTACTCTGGTTGCCCCTCTTTTGACTTCGGATCATTGAACGGACTACTGATTTTACTCTGTCGTGTTTTGACTCGGACTGGTTTGCTTCCTGCGTTTTCTGACTGAACTTGCTTTCTCATTTGACTTCGGATTGGTTTTTGGCTGCTCTTTTGGCTTGGTTTTTGGATCTCCTTGACTACTCAGTACTGACGTAGACTGCTCCTGACTACTGTTTCAGTTTATTAGAATTAATTGCTTCTGACCCAGACTGATTTACAACTTCCATCTTCTGTCTCATCCTGACCTCAACCAATTGGTCACAGGCTTCAGTTCCTCATTTTTGTGAGTCTTTGAATTCTCTCTAGTGTACTGATTTATGTCCCCATCCGGTCGATTTAGGAGGTGCATCTTGTTTGCGATGACATGCCTGGTTAAGATCTTCAGACATCACGGAGGATGCTAAATCTCACATAGAAGAGCTCCCTTTCAGTGCCACAGGTTTATTTAATGAAAAAACCAATGGTCCCATGGAGAACCTGCACAAGAAGAAGAAAATGGCCAAGTCTTATATCATTTATCAACAACCTAAATACCAAAAATTTCAATGGCGTAGACCATATACTCAACAACAATATCAGCAGACATCCTCACAACCTTACCGTGCGTACAGACCACAGAGCCACATCAAGCCCATACAGGCATCATCCACTTCGTCTGCTTTCAGGTCTCAGGGGTCTACTCAAAGGCGTCAATCTTATCATCCACCTGCAAAGAAATCAAAGCATTATCTTTGACTTAAGCAGCATGGTTCCTCCTGACTCAAATCCCTCTACTCGGTTAGTATCTTTTCTTCAAAATTGGTTAATGATTACACAGGACAATTGGGTGTTAAACATTATTCGTTTCAGCTATTGGCTAGAGTTTTTCAAACTTTCTCCTCTAGAGCACATCAAATTTACATCGTTCAACCCTGCTCTAGAAGAAGAAATTTTGGCTCTACTCAAAAAACATGCCATTCAACAAGTTCCACCACAAGACATCCAGAACGGTTTCTATTCCCGTTATTTCACAGTGCCAAAAAAGATGGAGGTATCAGGCCAATCTTAGATCTCAGAGATCTGAATGCCTACCTCCAACCCCGTCATTTTGGCATGGGGACTTTAGACGCGTTGCGGCGATTGGTTTGTAGTAATAGGCTTGCAAGATGTTTACAGTGGTGCCTCACATAACGAGTGCACCGTTTAACAACGAATCTGCATAACGATCTATTTTTTTAGATCGCTAATGCGACCACATTGCGATGTTCTGAATAGGCAAAACATCGCATTGCTATGATGGGTAAGCATTTCGCTTACCGATCTTCGCATTGCGATGTTTTTTTAAACAGCTGATCGGCGGTTCCAAAATGGCCGCCGGGTACCAAAAATGGCCGCTGCAAGTGTTTTTGCGCCCTGCCCTCGCTTACCAAGGGCGCGAAAATGGTGGTGCTATGGAGGAACTTCGCTCAACGGTGAGTTTGGGAGCCATAGGAACGCATTAAACAAAGTTTAATGCGTTCCTATGGCATTTTCCATTCCGTTTAGCAATGTTTCTGCATAGCGACGATTAATCCAGAACGGATTAATGTCGCTATGCGGGGCACCACTGTATTTTCATATTTCTATTCACCAACAGCATCGAAAATACCTCAATTTTTTCTTTATAGATATGGCTTATCAATTTTGCGCCCTACCGTTCGGGCTGTTCACCGCTCCTTGCACATTCACAAAGTGTACGGCCCCAGTAGCGGCTCACCTGCACCTCAACAATGTCATGGTCTTTCCTTATATAGACGATTGGCTAATCGTAGCTGCCTCTCATCAGAAAGCCATTCGAGACACCGAATTTGTTCTTCATACCTTACAAAATCTCGGTCTCAAGGTGAACTTCAAGAAATCTCACCGAGTTCCCTCTCGGATAGCCAATTACATAGGAGCGCAACTGGATTCTGTTCATGCCCGCATTTTTCTGCCTCCAGAATGGATCCAGAAGATATGTCGAGCAGTCCACCCTTTTCGTCCTTTCTCCAGGGTCACAGCTCATCACACCCAACATCTTCTAGGCCTCATGGCTTCTACAACATCCGCTCTTCTGCACGCACGTCTAAAAATGAGATCCTTGCAGGCTTGGTACCTGTCCCAATTCGATCCGATGGTAGGCAGCCCGAGGAAACGCCTTTGTGTCACACTAGAACTAGCGAAGCAACTACTGTCCTTCCCCACCTCCTCATGGGACAGCCATTTCATCCACTGCAACTTACAGTACAAGTCACCACAGATGCCTGTCCCACAGGATTGGGGGCACACTGCGGCAGCCACCAAGTGCACACTCTTTGATCCAAGCAGGAAGGTGCTCCTCATATAAATCATCTAGAAATGTTGGTAGTGATAAAGGCCTTCTGTGCGTTCGTGCTGTTGATACAGGGTTGTGGAGTCCATGGACAACACCATGACCATGTATTATATAAACAAACAAGGAGGTACCAACTCCATGTCGCTCCTCTGTCTGACAGTTCACCTTTGGGAGTGCTGTTATGACTGGCATGTGTTTCCTGTAGCCATTCATGTGTCCACATCAGAAAACGAAGTGGCGGATAGGCTGAGTCAGACAGGAGAGACTCACGAGTGGGAACTAGACGCGCCTACTTTCAAGATGATTTGCACAAGGTGAGGTCATCCAAAGTTGGACATGTTTGCAACTCAGCTAAACACGAAATGTGAGGTATTTTGCTCTCGCGCGTGCGCCCCTGGGGGATGCTTTCATGATCAGGTGGCCAACCGAGCTTCTTTACCTATTTCCACCAATACCATTAGTATTGGAAATCCGGGAAACAAGGGCCAGTGTCATTCTAGTAGCACTATGGTGGCCTCAGCAATCATGGTTTACCACTCTCAAGGCTATGGCATCAGATTTTATAAAGCTGCCGCTTCTGCCTCACCTTCTTACCCAGAATGCCGGCAACATCCATCACCCAGACCTGGAATCACTCCACCTAATGGCTTGGAGGATTCTCCCCTAACGCGGGAAGTCCTCAAAGGGGCCAGAAAACCATGTACTAAACTTCTACAGTATACGCTTCTAAATGGAACAGTTTTCTAAAGTTTGCCTAGTCTAGGGGCTTACAGTCATTACAGTTTCATTAGAAGCCCTTCTTCACTATTTGCGCTATCTGTTCGATCTTGGCCTGACTTTATCAACCTTAAAGGTGTATATTTCTGCATTAGTCTCCTATCAACCCTGTGATTCAGACTCGGCTCACTTGTTTTCCCATCCTACTCTTAAGTCTTTCATGAAAGGCCTCCACAACCTTCATCCGCCTGTTAGGCCGCCTTTGCCTCAATGGTCTCTACAGCTTGTCCTCCATGCTCTCACATGCCGCCCTTTCGAACCTATGGTTACTTACGACATTCGACTGCTGTCCTTTAAAACATTGTTCTTGGTGGCAATAACTCCTACTAGAAGGGCCAGTGAGCTTGCTGCCCTTAGGGCAGACCCACCTTACCTGTAGTTTTACCAGGATAAAGTGGTCTTCTACCCTGATGTCTCCTTCTTACCTAAAGTTGTCTCCAGTTTTCATCTTAATCAGCCATTGACTTTGCCTACCTTTTCCCGAATCCTTCTTCAGACGTTGAAAGAACGTTTCACTCTCTGGATGTGTGACGTGCCTTAGCATACCATACATCCAGAACTAAAGACTTTCGTGCTTCTCCCAAGTTGTTCCTCTGCTTTTATGGTTCAGGGTTCACCTGCTTGCTCTGCAATCATTTCTAGATGGATTGTCTCCACTATCAGTTTGTCGTATGAGCTGTCTGGCAAGGCTCCTCCAGAACATTTGAGAGCCCATTCCACTAGAGCTATGGCAACGTCCACTGCATTATTACGAGGCGTGGATGTTCTGGACATTTGCAAGGCAGCTTCTACATTTGTAATGCACTACAGACTAGTCCTCAGGCCCAAGAGGGAAGCAGGATTTGGGAAAGCAGTTCAAACGTCAATATTGGAGTGACGGCCCACCTTCCGGTAAGTGAAGCTTGCTAATCACCCAAATGTGTATGTTCACAGAAGCCATGAAGAAGAAAGAAAGGTTACTTACCTGTAACCATGGTTTTTCTAGTGGACCTCTGTGAATTCACACACTACCCGCCCAACCTCCCCCTATCCGTCACTTTTTTTTAGCTTAATGAGCCTTGGCTTTGCAAGTGGTGAATAAAATGGAACTGAAGGCTGAAGTGGGCGGAGCATGCGTTATAAGGGCAACCCTCAAGCTTGTTACTTTTTTCAGAAAAAAGCTCTAGAATATTCCGAGGAGTTACAGACTGTAACCCAAATGTGTGAATTCAGAGATCCACTTGAAGAACCATGGTTACAGGTAAGTAACCTTTCTTTTTTAGACACATTTTTCTCTGCCTTCACAAGGTAGGCGAGTATGCCAATACTTTTATTTATATACTTTGAAAAGTCTTATGCTCATGAAATATTTCAAGCATATATTACTAAAACAAGTGAGATCTATACTAATATTGTACCTGTATTGTTTCATTTAATAATCCTAGGTGACACTGATTACTATAGTTAGTGGTTTCCAGGGACTGAATTTAATACAAATCTGATATCTACTATATATTTCAAAGTATGGAGAGTTTTAAATGACAGAGGATATGAATGATGATGCAGCCTCAAATGAAATTTGTTTTTGACCATTAGGGATAAATGTGCTTTTTCCAAATACAATGAATCTTTGTATTGTATTATTATGAATAATGTAAAAAGTGACATTAAATCCCTTACATTTTAGTAGTTCTAACAGGTCTATATGTTTATGAAAACAAAATATTCTCAATACTGGAAGGAAACTAGCTGTTATTGGCTGATGTATCTTAGATGTCACCATTACCTTAGGAAAGATGTCACAATTATCAACTCCCATCTCTACTCCATGTGAAGAATCTTTTTTTCAAGATCAATAGGTAATGTGTAGAAAAAGGACTAGAATAAAATCTGTGTTAGGGAACGGACCCAGGTTTGATACCATACTTTTGTCATGTAGCAGTGAGTTTAACGAAATGCTCGAAAGCTCTCAACATTATACAAAAGGTGAGAAGTTCCACCATGCTGATTTTCATGTGGTGGTAATTAGAGAGAATTTTTATTAAAACCACAATTTTATTTAAATCACAATTAAAATTTTAAAAAATTGATTTTTAACAATGTAAATTTTTTTTAAAAAATCTTTTTATTTAAGTCGTGATTTAACTCAATTTGATTTTTTAAAAAACATTGATTTTTATCTACCCTTGTGGTAATTCTGGGTCTGGGTGGGTTAACTGCTGGAAAAATTGTCTTCTGTAAGCTTTATGTATGATTCTGTCAATTGTAGTCATTTCTGATATTGATAACCTGGTAACATCTCTCACTATAATGTAATTGGACATATATTGTTCATTACAGGTTTAACCACTTCATTTTAATTTATGAATAAGATTTAGTTGCAGTTTGTCTACAAGAATTTCAGTTTGGTGCTCTAGCCAAACACCCCATTGCATAGATATTTGGATACTGTTCAGCTAAATCTTGATGCTCTGCTTCTTGTCTCTGGAAAAGACATTTTAAAAAATTGTTTTCATTACTAGATTTTCTCAGGAGGGCAACATCATTACAATTGTTTGTGGAAGGATTGCTTTACTTGTCTTTGAACCCTTCCATACTTTAGCCTGTGTCCAGCACTGGACTTTCTCTCACAGAAACTGCATAGATAGGGGAGTGCAATCTTTCCTAGCCCCACTGCACCCCCTTGAATGGGAAGGGATGCAAATCCCAACTAACAACCTTTTACTATTGCTTCCAGTCTAGTTTCTGTTCATGCATTTATTTTACATATTTGTATATCATTTTATAAGCCCTTTGTAGTTTGCGTTAGAAAGAAAAATATTGTTTAAAATCTATAAGGCAATAATTAAGAATTAACACTGGACCATACAACCTGCTACTAAGGTAAACATCCTGGATAGCACAGTCATAAATATAAACTTTATTATTTCTGGCCATAGACCTTTACAATGTACTGACTACTGTAGCATATAAAATCCAATTAAAACAGGTAATTACCTTAAGACCATTAAAACCAATAAAACACAGTCTAAGAATATTGTCATAACATATAATGCCAGTCCACTGTATTCAGCGTTTAAGTGGCATTATGATCCTTGACAAATCGAAGCCTCAGCTTCTTAGCTGCTAGTGCAAATTGTGCTACAGCATATGTAACGTGCAACTGTGTATCAGCAAGCAATCCTACTACTGTTTCAGCGGTGGTACAGTTAAAATACATCTGAATGATGGGTGACAGAAATCTTTCTCTAGGATTTTTATAGAGAGGATAGAACAGTAGATAATGAGTTAGATCCTCAGTCTGGTTGTAGCCAAAAACACGTTTTTGTTCCTCAACTGGGATTCCTTTATATCTCCCTTTGAGGTATGCTGAGGCTATCTGTCCAAATCTAAGTTCTGTAAAAGCTCTGCGAATCTGGGGAAAAGTCAATGATTCAAAATATTTTGGTTTTGCATGATTCACCTGAAGTTGGGGATACCAGGTAGAAAAATGGGACCCAACAGTAGCCGCCCTATCCTGACTAGCATCAAGATCAAAGATCCAATTCCTAAGGTTGTGCGAGCTTAAACTAAGAAACTTTTTCATCGGAAGGTTGTGGACCTTTAATTTTTGGTGACATTGTTGTGCCCATCCACCAGACTTTAGTCATTCTAACCAGCAGTACTTTGTCAGGGAGGAGTCCTCCAAACTGTTCAGTTTATGCCAATATTTAAAATAAGCCAGATTGAATCTAGTGGCAATTGAGTATAGGCCGAACTCACCTCTGAGGTGAGCCAAGGGAGTTCCTGGGGAGAGCCCCAGTATCGGCCTCATGAATTTGTTCTGCAGGATTTCTAATTTGGGCTTGGCTGCCTCTCCCCATAGTTCTGTCCCACAGAGCATTTGTGCTGGAATTTTGACAACAAACACCTTGAGAACAGGATTTACCAGCTAGCCTCTTCTGCCGTAGAAAAATCTTTTTAATTGCCATATTGATCTGGTGCTCAATAAGATGGTAGCATTTAAATGCTGTCTCCAGGAGAGTTTCTCACAAAATTGAAGGCCCAAATAATTAAATGAGTGTACGTACTTGCTCAATAGCATACCCATCCAGTGACCAGTTATGCTTAGGGGCTCTCTTCCCACAGACCATAACCTTTGTTTTGGTATAGTTGATGGTTAGCCGTTCCTCTTTACAGAGCTCCCCAAATTTGGACAGCATTCTTTTAAGACCAATTTTATTCAAAGATAGCAAAACCAGGTCATCAGCATAAAACAGTATTGAGATCTTCCTACAACCAATGGCTGGAGGGAAGAATGTAGGGGAAGCCATTTGAGGGATAAGGCTGTTTATATAAAAGTTGAAGAGAAAAGGTGCTAAAATACAACCTTGTTTCACCCCTCGGCTAATGTGAACCTGTTGTGATAGAGCTCCCTGTAATCCTTTACGCATTTGCATTGTATTTTCTTTATGTAGTTGCTGTATGAGCTACAGGAGTCTCTTGTCGATGTTTGTTTTTCCCAATTTACACCAGGGATGTTCTCTTATCTGTCAGGTCAAAGGCTGATGAAAAATCCACAAAGGCAGCGTAAAGATATTTGTTTGGAGGTTTGGCGTATTTATTAATTACGTGATGTAAAACAAAGGCTTTATCTATTGTACTTTGCCTTTTCTGAAGCCTGCCTGTTCTTTGAAGATGATAGAATGTTTGTTGTCCCAATCTAGAAGCCTATTCAGGAGGTATCTAGCATAAAGCTTAGAGGCCACGTTGAGAAGACTGATAGGTCTAAAGTTACAAGGATCTAAAGGATCACCTTTCTTAAAACTGTGCTGTGTCCTCTGAAGATGCTGGCCACAGAGACTGGTGAAACGTTAGGAAAAACCATCTTCAGAACACGGTCAAGAAGCCCGATAAAACCTGCAACAACCATTAGATCCCGGCCGTGAAAGCCTTCGTGAATACCCATAAGATTTGTCTATTTGTTCTTCTATGGATATATTCTTTGGATCGGTGTTTGATAAATTTGGATTTTTCTCAGGCAAGTCCATTGATAAAATTGATGACCTTTCTTGGAATCCTAGATCCACTCACCAATTGCCAATCAAGTAGCCAGAAAGGTCTTCAGCCACATCATTTCTTTGGGAATCTCTGATTATCATATTTGAATCTTTATGGTCTAAGATAGATGGAGTACTTGAAACAAATTTGTTTGGAAACCTTTGCCCAGTGGAACTGGAAAAGTCCTGTTGACTAATGGAGGTTAAAGGCATGCAGAAGTCTACTATAGCCCTTTGAGGTTTACTTCTGGGAGCATTGTTACTTCCAGCACGAGTTTTCTGGGCTCTAGTAATGACCATTGGTTGTGTTTATATGTGCTGTTGAATCACACCTACACCCAGGAGAGCTAGAGTCGTCTGCAAATCCTAGTGCAGATCCTAGAGTGATTTCTTTATTTCTTTATTACCTTGCCTTCTGTGATGTCTCCTTATCAGATAGCTTAGGCAACTCCTGACATTTGACTTATAAATATCTTCTAAATAACTCACAGTATTATGATGTAGTTCTTGTATGGCCTTGAATTTTCCTCGAATCAAAGTCCTTTTCAAACATTGTGTTGCTGGTAAACTCCCCCCCCCCGGGGAGACTCAGTGCTTCTTGCTCTCTTTGGTTTCAGCCACCACCGGGTAGCA